GAGTGCGCCAGTTTTAGTAAATCAACCCCTGTATCTTCAAGTACAACTCAACTAGTCTCCGAGATGGGGATGGGCGCAATATTTTATTGGGTTACCACTCGCCCAATGGAAAATCACATATGCTCAATAGAAGAGATTTTCTTTCTCCTGGTTGAGTGGTCCACGACAGAGGATGAGTGGTCCCCCAATAAGTGGTGTGACATTGCACATACAAGGCTTTCCTTTCCATGGTAAGTTGGAGAATACATGGGCTGACATCTTAATTTTTAAAGAGGCCTAGGTCATATTTTTAGATCGTTTACTGTTGATTTAGTTTTACTAGATTTACACTGTTTCAGGGCCATTTCACATTACATGCGTTTCAGTTGCCTTTTTTCTGTATCCAAAACGCACAGAAAGCTATATAGTTGGTAATGTCATAGCTCACATCACTGCTTACAGTTCCAGTACATTCCAGTTGCAGGAAAAAAAATTAGAACAGGCTGCATTTTTTCTGCACAGAACTGTACTGGAACGTGGTAAAACATCAAAAACGCACCAGAATGCACATCTTCCTATTTAAATTGAATTTAAAAAAAAAAGGGGAAAAAAATTAACTGGAATGTGTATAAAAAAAACCAAAAAAAAAAAAAAACCACTGGAACACGCCAAAAACACGCATGCAAAAACGCATCCGGAATGCATCTGGACTGCATTTCTATAGTGTGAACCGGCCCCTCAAAGCTGGTTCACACTATAGAACTGTAGTCCAGATGCATTCCAGATGTGTTTTTTCCATGTGCGTTTTTGGCGCGTTCCAGTTCATTTTTCCCTCTCTTTTTCTTCAATTTAAATAGGGACATGTGCGTTCCAGTGCATTCCAGTGTTTTTCTTCTGTGTGTTTTGGATGCAGAAAAAACACAACTGAAACGCATGTAGTGTAAACTGGGCCTCAAAAGTTTTGGATCACTTTTTGTTGACTCTGCTTTAATATAGTATTTACACTGTCTGGATGAAAGCTTTGGATCACTTTATTGTAGGATGTTTTTTTTCTTGAATTTACAGTGCATATAGGAAATTTATATATATGACCTTTTTTTGTATGAAGTCTTATTAGTGCTGCACTTCTATAGGAGATTGAATTATCAGGCTGCAATTTTATGCTCAGCGATCACCTGGCACTTCTGTCAGATTACAAAAAAGAAATGACCACTCCAATGAATAGGTCTCCTCTAGCGCATGACTTGAGCCCCATCTTCATCTCCAAGAGAATCAGATGGGAGGCAGGAAATGTCTGCTCTAAAATGATGCACTTATCCATTAAATTGCTCAGTTATAACTTAAATCAAAGAATAAAATAAAATAGAAAGCAGAAAATGGTCAGCACAAACTGAGATGTTTATTGGTAATACCCAACAGAAGCACAATCACTAAACTGCCTGCTAATCATCAGTTTAATGCCAATTCAGCTTTTGCTAATAAAGGAAGAAATCTACAAAGCATGTAAAGCCTATGGCCATACGCCGGCTAAAGTCAAATAACCCAAAACACGGCTGTAGCTACTGGCAACCGCAGTGGTCACCATACTCAAAAAGTTGAAGTTGCCGAGCTGAATTATCAAAGATCACATTCACAAGCAGTGGGGTTCAGTATGTAGCTGTGTCAGATGTGATATCAGATAATTAATCTCTATGGTGGACAGGGGGCTCGGCTTCTGGATTGGTGGCAAAGGGAAGTTTATTGGCTGCCTAAAGTCCAACTCCCAAGATGGAAAAAAAAAAAAAACACTTGCAGGGATGCCCTCTGCAGTGCAAGCGTTAAACATTTGTCAACTCTAGGACAGGGGTCTCCAATCTGTGGCCCACAGGTCGGATGTGGCCCTTTACTTGATCTGGCTCTTCGTGCACCATTCCTTCCACTGACGCCAACAATGGGTTATCATTTCTCACGCTGACACCAATGATGGGGCACTATTACACCCAATGACACCAATGATGGGGCACTAGTCCTCCCACTGATACCAATGATGGAGCACTGTTCCTCCCAATGACGGAGCACTATTCCTCCTACTGACATCAATGATGGAGCACTGTTCCTCTCACTGACACCAACGATGTAATTGTTCTACTCCCACTGACCACCAAGCCTATGGCACTGCACTCCCACCGATGCCAGGGTATTTTGTACTTCCAGTGGCCAAAGTCCGGCCCCCCAAAGTTTGAAGGACAGTAAACTGGCCCTTGGGTTCGAAACTTTGGAGACCCCTGCTCTAGGAGACAGAAACTGTACTACTTGATCTGACACTCTATCCTATTCTCCCTGTTGCTCTGGGAAGTCCCTCTTTGCCATCACCTACAATGCAGGGCTATTTATCCTGCATTGTATGTGAGGAAGTAATAGTGCAATCACAGCCCAGAGCGCCTTAGAGGAGGGGTGTCAAACTGGCATCCTTTCAGCTGTTGCGAAACTACAAGTCCCATCATGTCTCTACCTTTGGAAGTCGTGCTTGTAACTGTCACGCTCGCAATTCCTCATGGGACACAGCTGGAGGGCCGCCAGTTTGACACCTGTGCCCTAGAGAGAAGCCTTCAGGGGACAGGTAACACAGATAGAGGAAGTCTGCCGGAGTGAGAAAAATAGAATTCCTCCTTATTCCTCTACACCTAGGCAAAAACGAGCATTTAACCTTTGCAGACAGAAGAGTGTATTTGGTTGTGGAGCAGGCCCCAATCTATCCTTCTCTTTGGATGACCAATATCTCAGTAACAGACACTTACTGAGCCCAGAAGCAGGGGCAGACCGACAACTCATGGGGCCCCCGAGCAATTGGGGATCATGGGGCCCCTGTGTCCTTGCTAACACTCAAAACACACCCAAAAAAGCCTATAAAAATGTACCGGGGGCATTTTATGGGGCACCCTACTGACCCCGGGCCCTCGGGCAGTGCCTGAGTGCTTAAAATGGTCAGTCCGCCCCTGCCCAGAAGTGCCAATAAATGGAGGAATTACATGACGACTGGTGAGACAGATGCTTGTGATCTCATCCGGTTAGGGTTCATACACATGCAGAGCCATTCAACACACCAATGTATGATTAAAAGTAAAAAAAAAAAAAAAAAATCATGCAAAAGAGTCAAATGTGAATGAAGTGCTCTCTGTGCTGCCTACAGCAACCAGTCAACATTCTTTTCTTTTTTTAAATAATGGTGAAACTGGTCGGTTGCCATGGATAACACAGACAGTTCCTAAGACACCTCTGACCATGAAGCCAACTGGTTATAGCAGCCTAAGTGCTATGCATGCAGTTTCAGCATTGTTTTAATGCCAAAAGGTCCTTTCTACAACGGTAAGAAAAGCTTTGGTAAACTGTTGGGTTTTCTCTGTAGTGAATCCAGGAAGCCACACTGCCAATAAACCTAAAATACAACAGTGGGTGCTAAATTGTCTATTTCTGGCAGCTGAGAAGCTTATTCCCTGGCCATGAAAGCAGACCTTGCATCAAAATGTATTCTTTAGACCCCATGTAAAAATTTGGTAATAAACATTACAAAAAAACCCCAGAAAAAACACAAAAAAACCCTTACACCCTAACTTCTGCCCATGGGGACGACATCACATCACAATATCCTGGGAAAGCTCAGGATCCAAAATCTCACTAGAATGTGTTGAGTTTTGGGGTCATCATTCTCTGAGGATCTCGTCAGAAGGAAATGTCAGGTGGAAGCTGGGATATTTGATTTATTTATTACAGGTTCTTATATATCACCGCCAATTTATTACGCAATTTACATATATATTGTACATTCACATCGGTCCCTAACCCTAACCCTCAAGGGGCGTACAATCTAAAGTCCCTAACTTATATACATACTAGGGCCAATTTAGACAGGATCCAATTAACCTACCATAAGGCTACGTATATTTTTTATCTTTTTGGAATGCTTAATGCTGTATTTTACAAGGGTGAGGGGAAACCTAAAGAATAAGCAGACTTTTGATGCAAGGACCGCTTTGAAGCTGAAATCTGGGATTGTATTTAGAAAAAAAAAAAAACAAAAAACCTTTTCAATGGGGTCCCCCTACACTGCAAGGGTTAAAGGCTAAATTCTATGGGTATCAGAAAAGGCTGCATTACTTAATGTACTGAGCGCCTTTGAGAGGCACCAGCACTGGACCAGTCATATGGATACATGAAGCCAGCTGGAGCCAAGGATAAGGTATGTATTTCACCGTATTCCTGTAACAACCACTTAACCCTTACAGTGCACAAGTGTACTTTTTACTTTCCAGCCCAGAGTTCAGCTTTAAGTTTGGCTAATAAACTGGTCTTGCACCTGAATGCTTTATTCATCCCCCCTCCAAAAGAATCAGCGATCCCTTGTACCAAGTGCCAGTAACATTCTATCCTTCGTCTAAGAAAAGGCGTAACAATCTGATAATATATAAGTTGTAAAGTAAATAACATTTAGAGACTGTTACAAAACAAATCATCTATTCAAAAATATGCAATAGGAGGAATATATTAAACCCCGATATGCAGGGTGACGTCATTCCCCAGGGAAAAGAGGCATGGTGGTCATTTTACAGTGACCAAAGCAAGCGCTGTGTAAAGGAAACTTAACAGATTTCGATTCTAATCATACTGTAACACTGGGGGGGGGGGGGGGGGGTAACACCTCTAGGAGTGGGGCAGTGGATCCCCCAGATACCTAAAACCACACAAAAGTACGAGTCAGCGGACTGGACCGAGCAGTGGCGAGGGATAAAGTGGTGGAGTCTATCGTCAGACTTGGCTCTAAGTGAGACAACCAGATAAACAACCTTGTCGGAGACGGGGCTGAATGTTTCGTCACACCAATCAATACAAACAGCATCAGATTGTCTGACAGTAATCTGGGGAATAACATATATGGCAGTGAGGTGCTGCTGCCGGTATACACAACTGAACCAAAATGGAAAAACTTCAGCGGGTGAGTGGTGGAAAGTTTTCATGATCTGGGGGTTCCGATAAGACGGTTCATCTTATTCCTTTAATTTAATGAAGGAGTCGGCGAATTTCGCAATGTTTTCCTCCTGCTGGTCAAGAGCATCAAGTACGATCCCCATTGGAGTCTTCTTCAGACCAACGCCCTCCATCTTATTCTCAAACTTGTTCTTCATGTTACGGAGCCGCAGGGAGGCATGGATGAACATCACTGAGCAGGAAAATAAATAAATAAATGAAATGACAATTATATATGAAAATAAAGAACCCAAACAACCAAATCAGCTTTTTTTCATGGTTAGATGGCAGCTGGTGGGTTTAGAAATGGTACACTTCAATCTCAACTGAAATTTAAAATGAACTCGATGTAAGGAAACTGCTTTAAACGACAAAAGAGTTTGTAAATCTTCAGCATGAGTGCGCAGAGATGCAGACAGCAGAGACGGTTTGGTGACCTGACTTTTCTCTACAGGAGTTATGAAATGCAACCTGATCACCTCCCTTCCTCCAGACTGTGACTAAGCAGAGAACCAGCAGCACTGACTGCCCCTTGCTCACTCTGCTTTCTCCTCCTATCAGCATATTCTAGCTTGGCAAGTGCCAGATCACCAATCTGACTGTGCTGTGTGGCAGAGTTGCATAAATTTCAACACTGGATGGACAGAATTACAAATCCTTTGGAAGGTAAAACAGCTCTCCTATATGTGATTCATCTGAGCATTTAGCAGTTTGCTGGCAGTTCAGCTTTAAAGGGAAAGTTCACCTTACATGTTGAACCCATATTTAGGGTGTAACATGTAAAGAAAGGACCAGCCCCCAACCTTCCATTGTGAGAGCTAGCAGGGGAACTTCTCCCCCCCTTTAGCTGTCACAATTTTTTTTAAAACTCCACCTGCCCAACCGCATCGCTCACAGTGTACTGTGAATGGGAAAACTACAAGTTCTGTCAGCCTCTGCGGCTGTGGGCTTGTAGTGTTCAATGAACTACAACGGTGCTGTTGAGCGCTGTGGTAGTTCATTGATTCTTCCTGTCAAGAGTGTATTTGTTTGCCTGTACAAGCATACAGAACCACTGACAGGTCTGCAGGAGTCCTGCATGGCACCAGCGATCTGCTGCAATGCTTTCCAGGCTCCCAAAACAAAAAATAGTAAATGCTAATTTTTTTCTACCTGCAAAAAAATGTGCATTTATTATTTTTTGTTAAAATGGTAAAGCCCTTCTCCAGGCAAAGCTCCCCCCCCCCCCCCCCCCCCCCCCATCCGACCCATTAAAAATGAAACCCTTTAATTATACTCCCCTAACTGTACCATCTGTGTGTCTTACCGGTACTGACTTTCTCTATGTGAACGCAGTGGTCTCTCTGTAAAAGTCTGATATATCCCTTGAGTCAGAGCTAGAGCTTTTCAGTCAGCAAACCTCAAGCCTCTTTTGACTGGAGATCTCTAGCTCAGACCTCTGCAAAGAGACCACTACTCAGACACAAAGAGCAAGGGTCCGTCTCTATAGCATGTTGGCAGAGGAAAGGTTTACCCACTCTGTGGCTCTTTGCTACATAAAAACTGTAAGAACAGCATTTGTTTTAATGTACAAGTAAATGAGCAGCAATCTGATTGTAAATAAAGAAAAAAATATATCATCAGGCTCCAATATTCTCCTTTTGGTTTACTAGCCAAGGTACTGGATATGTCACACTGCACAATATGCCCTGACCTGATGTATAGTCAAGGTTTCAGCTATTGTCATGATCTACAGATACATGACTACCGCACTTTTTTCTGCGTTTCTAAGAAAATCTGTTTCTGTAATTTTAAGAACATTTTAAATCTTTGCATAAAATATGTTAAATAAATAAAATCGAAATGTAGGAAACTTACACAAGAGTGGCAAAGAAATTCCAAAAACAAAACCACCATGACGCCCCCACACATGGATATGACAAAGTAGCTGCACAACATGATACACATGACAAATACGGTCGGGTATTGCTTCTTAAATCTCTTGATGATATCCCTGTTGTGCGAGGTCCACACGAAGGCCAAAAAGACCAAGACCACCACTGTGCCTCCCAGGATCATGTTGAAAGGACTTAAAAACCTGAAAAACAATGAGAGGCAGAAAAGACATAATAGTTTTTTTTGCAAGAGGATATTTGATTGATCTACATATTTATCCAACACTCTTTGGCTGTCATGCAGATGTTCTTCAAAACCTTCTGGGCCACTGAGCCAAGACAAATATAGTGATCGAGGATCAGGAATTTTTGACTTTTCCAACATTCAATTTTTGCACGATTGTCCAGGGTTAGCAACTTAGAAAGTATTGAAGTCAGACACAGCCAGGCAATTATTATGCTAATATTTCAACGTATTACAGGTATACAGGTATACTATAGTATAAATATTGATTATAAATACCTGAAAGATGAGAAAGTTTAGAAAACATAAAATATAATACATAAAATTGACTATTATATTTACAGTATACAGGTGCGTGTACCCATATGCAGATTGTATGAGCTGTGTCCGTGCAGCTGCTGCATCCCAACTGACATAAATGGAACAGGGTGGATCCCTTTGAGAACGTGCGTGAGCACGAAACGCGTCATGCTGACGTCACGCCGCCGTGTCCACGTGATGGTTCGGCGGCCATCTATGTAAGTGCTTTTTATCCATTGATGATTTTATGCTCCACGTGGTTGCTATCTTTTTAATAAAACATACTACACTATATGATACGGTCTCCGAGCTTGGTCTATGAGCTTGGCCTCTAAGAGGAGTCCCTTTCCTTGGTTCACCATGGGCTGGAGATGGAGACTTGGCTACTCTACTTTTGATTTTTCATTTGGTGCATCACTGGCTTCTGGAGAGATCCCACCTTCAACCGGGTCACCGCCAAGGGAACAAGTAGGAACACCCCTTAATGTCATTCCGCTCTGCGCTTGCTTGCTACTTACTTATGGTGGAGGTGAAGAGTGGAAGTCACTACATTTTGTTGATTTGATCACATCACTATTTTTGGGACTATTATGATATTTAGAGGACTTTATTTTCATTTGTTATACCATATATTTTGTTTCTGCATTGGAGTATTCACTATTCTCTATTTCTTCTTTATGATGTATCCTTTCTCTTTTACAATCACACTGGTCATCATTGATTATAACACACATTTTTATTAGCTCTGCACATTGATATTATAATAAATGGATCTGCCTGCATGTGGATGAATGAACAGCTGTGCAGGCAAAGACGGTCCTCGCACCAGTGTAAGCATCGTCAGGCCCCATGTGAATGAGGCCTTAATTGGTATAATACCCAAGCCCTGAATAAGGAGGAGATCTTTGAATTTTTCTGTTGTGACTTAAAACTTAATAAAAGACTTTGGAAATAAACGACTTTGGACTCCCAGATCCTTTGCTGGGCCTTCTCAGACTCTGTACACAGGGATCAATAAAAAGCTGACAGGTTCTAGCCTACCTTATTCCATGAGTATTGAAAATTAGGTAAATGGAAAATTAGGATTGAAAATAAAGGAAAATGGATTCAAAACTATGTAAAAGTTTAGGCCTTTCCTTCCCTGTTCATCTTGATGACCACTGCACTGGGACAAAGTGATGGGAAATCAAAAATTTGACAGTTGCACCAGAACAAAAAGGGTTGTAACCGACTATTCCCTACTCAATCCAAAACCAAAAAGAAAAACTTTTTTTTATAATGATGCATCTAGTTCACATGTGTCAAACAAGGGGCCCGCAGGGCCGAATCTGACCCACCAGACAATTTTATGTGGCCCTCAAGGCTTTTTTTCAGCTGGAATGTAGTGGAACTCTGTTCTGCCATCTCTGGCTTTCACCCTCCACTTCCCACTCACTGCTGTCACCTATAAGCACAGAAGTCTTCAGTGTTTACAAGGACAGCTTTCCTCTCTGCAGCTCATAGCTCTAGGAGATCCCTACCTGCCCTGCATGCATTCAAGGCAGGGCAGGATGGAGGCAGATGCTGACCAATGATCTCCCTGCATATGAAACAGGCGGAGCCTCCTACACTGCCTGGAGGTACGAAAGTTGGGCTGGGTAGGTAGGATGCAAGGAAGCTTTTGAGATGGGGGGGGGGGGAGGGAGAGATGTGTGCAGAGGTCAGAGCCAAGGAGAAGGGTGGAAGTGAGATGTGGACAACCTGTGAAAGAGAGCTGAACCCTGCGCTCTGTGCGTTGCGCGTCCCCCAACCCTGCGCTCTGTGCGTTGCGCGCCCCCCAACCCTGCGCTCTGTGCGTTGCGCGCCCCCCAACCCTGCGCTCTGTGCGTTGCGCGCCACCCAACCCTGCGCTCTGTGCGTTGCGCGCCACCCAACCCTGCGCTCTGTGCGTTGCGCGCCACCCAACCCTGCGCTCTGTGCGTTGCGCGCCACCCAACCCTGCGCTCTGTGCGTTGCGCGCCACCCAACCCTGCGCTCTGAGCGTTGCGCGCCACCCAAACCTGCGCTCTGAGCGTTGCGCGCCCCCCCAACCTGCGCTCTGTACGTAGCGCGCCCCCAACCCTGCGCTCTGTACGTAGCGCGCCCCCCCCAACCCTGCGCTCTGTACGTAGCGCGCCCCCCAACCCTGCGCTCTGTACGTAGCGCGCCCCCCAACCCTGCGCTCTGTACGTAGCGCGCCCCCCAACCCTGCGCTCTGTACGTAGCGCGCCCCCCAACCCTGCGCTCTGTACGTAGCGCGCCCCCCAACCCTGCGCTCTGTACGTAGCGCGCCCCCCCCAACCCTGCGCTCTGTACGTAGCGCGCCCCCCAACCCTGCGCTCTGTACGTAGCGCGCCCCCCAACCCTGCGCTCTGTACGTAGCGCGCCCCCCAACCCTGCGCTCTGTACGTAGCGCGCCCCCCAACCCTGCGCTCTGTACGTAGCGCGCCCCCCCAACCCTGCGCTCTGTACGTAGCGCGCCCCCCAACCCTGCGCTCTGTACGTAGCGCGCCCCCCAACCCTGCGCTCTGTACGTAGCGCGCCACCCAACCCTGCGCTCTGTACGTAGCGCGCCACCCCAACCCTGCGCTCTGTACGTAGCGCGCCACCCAACCCTGCGCTCTGTACGTAGCGCGCCACCCAACCCTGCGCTCTGTACGTAGCGCGCCACCCAACCCTGCGCTCTGTACGTAGCGCGCCACCCAACCCTACATACATAGTCTTACAGATACAGCCATCCCTTTGAGGAGCAGCCATAATACTGATGTGGCCCGCAATGAAATTGAATTTGACACCCCTGATCTAGTGAATCAGATGAAAATCACAAGTAGTGAAGAGTATACTTGTATTGGGTACTGAAGCCTTTGGATCAACACAGAAGCCCCGCAACTAGCATTTACAAAATTCAACCAAGGCAACCAGTATGCACCCAGTACAATTTTCTTTAACAGAACTTACTCATCATAAAGTGGTACCTTCCGCACTTCTACACTGCTACAGTCCAACATGGATTCCTAGAATTCTCCTTTATCAAACCCCTAAGAATCCAACATGGAACCCTAGAATTCTCCTAGATCAAATTCCCAAGAATCCAGCATGAAAATTGTAGAATTCTGCTTTTTTAAAACACCAACAAAAAAATCTGAAACAAAGCTGAACTCCACTTCTGTCAATGATGGTGTCGAAAACTAGTGACTCAAATGGCCCTGATCCATCAAAGCGATACACATAGGATCATTTTAAATTTCCAATTTAGCCGTCCACCTGCTGTGGTCAGTCTGTCTTTTCTCTCTTGCAACATGAAGAGAACCTGGCTGCCTCCATCTCTTATGTCCAGCACAGCAGAGGCGGGAGTTAATAAGTGCCGCTTATATTTAGCTCCCAAATAGCTGCTTTTCTTGGTATGGAAAAAGTGAATATGTTCAAAGCCTCAGGAACTGAATGTTAACAGATGTGTAGAGACGAGAACCAACACCCAGTATCCACAGCAAGAAAATCAAAGTCTTAATAAAGTGCTTCTTGTTTTGAACTTTTTATTTTAATGCAACACCTCCTTTGTAGGAAACCAAATCAAAGTATATATAGATCCCTGCAGTATGATCCATGTATTATTTGGCTTTTATCTTAGGTTGTGGCTATTATCCTATTTCCATTCAGAATGCATGACTTATAGTTTACAGAAAAAACAAAAAAAAACCAAAAACCTGACTGAACAATGCCGAACACTATACATAGGGAGCACCTTCCTATTCAATCTCAGTCCCTACACCCATGCCAGGGTGCTAGCTGTAATCGTGGACCTGGACCATTCCCTTAAGTCTGATATCCAGTTACCATTTAAATCTTACAAACTTCACTTCCGAAACAATTTCAAAATTCGCCCTTTCTTAATCACTTGCCCCCCGGAAGATTTACCCCCCTTCCCGACCAGGCCATTTTTTGTGATCCGGCACTGCATTACTTCAACTGACAATTACGTGGTCATGAAACGCTGCACCCAAATTAAATGTATGCATTTTTCCCCACGAATTTTGATGGTATTTGATCACCACTGTGTTTTTTTTATATATGTGATATAAACAAAAAAGACAAGACATTAAAAAATAAAATATTTAATTTCTACTATAAAACAATAAAAAAAATGTTAAAAATCTAATTTTTTTTATAAATTTAGGCCAATATGTATTCTGCTACATATTTTTGGTAAAAAAAATTCTAATAAGTGTGTATTGATTGGTTGGCACAAAAGTTATAGCGTCTACAAATAGCGGTACAGTATAGTGGATTTATTTATTTTATACTAGTAATGGCGGCAATCAGCGACTTATAGCTGGACTGCAATATTGCGACGGGACAATCAGACCCTGAGACTTTGTGGGAACCAGTGACACTAATACAGTGATCAGTGCTAAAAATATGCAGGGACACTGTACTAATGACACTGTTAGGAAGGCGTTAAACATCTAGGGTGATCAAAGGGTTAACTGTGTGCCTAGCTAGTGCTTTTGTGTAAATTGTGTGCTGCTTTTACTAAGGGAAGTGATGAATCTCATTGGATCCATCATTTCCCCAATCCCGAAATGCTTACACAGGCAGAGCTCAGTTCTGTGTCTCTCCTTGACGAACAGCGGGTGCCAGTGG